CACTGCACTCCAGTCTGGGCGACTGAGTGAGACTCCAACTCAAACAAAACAAAACAAAACAAAAAAGATTGATGTCTTTTTCATGGTGTACCTCCTTGTCCCCCCACCCTCCCCACTTTGGAAGATTTGGAGATGAACTCTTCGTTTCTAGTATTCTGAAATTCCTTAATAACTTGGAATAAGGTCCTCCCTTTTTTTTCCCCACTTCATTTTATTCTAGGTACTTGGTGGACCCTTTCAATGTGAATATTGCCATTTATAGCTAAGAAATTAACTAGTATAACTTTAATACTTTTTTCCCTTTTGCACACTCTGTTCTTTCTTCCTAGAATTCTACTTATTTAACTGATGAGTCGGTTCTCACTCTTGCCCGGGCTGGAGTACAGTGGCTCAGCTGACTTCTGCCACGGCCTGCCTAGTAACTGGGACCATAGGTGAACACCACAACACTCAGCTAAATTTCTCAGTTTTTTTCTAGAGACAAAGTCTCGCTATATAGCCATAGGCTACTCTCTAACTCCTAGGCTCAAGCAGTCCTCTCACCTAGCCTTCCAAAGTGCTGGGATTACAGGCACAAGTTACCATGCCCAACTTCTTCCTGGAATTCTTTTTTTTTTTTTTGAGTCAGAGTCGTCACTGTCACCCAGGTTAGAGGGTAGTGGCACACTCAAGACCACCACAGCCTTGACCTGCTGGGCTCAGGCAATCCTTCCACCTCAGTCTTTCTTTTTTTTTTGAGTTAGAGTCTCACTCTGTCACCCAGACTGGAGTGCAGTGGCCGCTCCCGGCCACCGCAGCCTCGACCTGCTGGGCTCCGGCGATCCTTCCGCCTCAGCCTTCCGAGTAGCCAGAATTACAGGCACGCGCTACCACACCCAGCTGATTTTTTGATTTATTGTAGAGATGAGGTCTCACCAAGTTGCCCGGGCAGGTCTTAAACCCGCGGGCTCAGGCATTCCACTCACCTCAGCCTCCTAAAGCGCGGGATTACAGACTGGGCCACCGAGCCTGGCTTAGAGTTCTTAATAATCTGACCTCCTGACTGATTCTCTAATTCTTTTTTCCTCTCATTTTTCTCTCTCTTTGCCTTTTTGATCTATTTCTGAGACAGTTTCTTGACCTTGTCTTGGCATATACTTATTTATTTATTTAGGCCATCCTGTCTTCAGGTATACCCTTAACTTTTTTTTTTTTTTTTTTTTTTGAGTCAGGGTCTTACTCTCTCACTCAGGTTGGAGTGTAGTGGCACACTCAAGACTACACGGCCTCCACTTGCTGGGCTCAGGTGATCCTTCCACCTCAGCTTTCCAAGTAGTGGGAACTACGCAGCACCATGCCCAGCTAGGTTTTTGATTTATTGTAGAGATGAGGTCTCGCCAAGTTGCCCAGGCTGGTCTTGAACCTCTGGACTCAGGCAGTCCTCTCACCTTGACCCCTAAAGTGTTGAGTATCAGGCGTGAGCCACCATGCCCAGCTGCAGTAATGAGTCTTAATAGGCACGAATGTCCTTAAGTTTCTTATTCTGTTCTTTTTCTACTTTTTAAAGATCTGATTAAAACCCATAGCTTGAAAAACACTGATACAGCCCCTTTCTCCATCTCCCTTTCCCTCAGCCCTGTGCCTCATGTCGCTCTCCACTTTGTAAGTGCAGTTGCCCCTTGATATCTGCAGGGAAATTCATTCCAGGACCCCCTACAGACACCAGAATCTCCAAGTGCTCAAGTTTACATAAAATGGTGTAGTATTTGTATATCACCCGTGCACATCTTTGTGTACACTTTGTCATCCCTGGATTATTTACAGTACCTAATATGTAAATACTATGTAAATAGTTGTCATGCTGTGTTGTTTCATTAATTATATGACCAGATAAAAGTTCAGGCCAGGTGGGATGACTTACACATGTAATCTCCACACTTGGGGCCGTCGAGGCAGGAGGATTGCTTGAACCTAGGAGTTCATGACCAGCCTAGGCAAAATAGTGAGACTTTGTCTCAAAAAAATAAAAATAAGGCCAGGCGCGGTGGCTTAGCCTGTAATCCCAGCACTTTGGGAGGCCGAGGCCAAAGGATTGCCTGAGCCCAGGGATTCGAAATCATCCTGGGCAACTTGGTGAGACCTCCTCTCTGTAATAAATCACAAAAATACTAGCTGGGTGTGGTGGCATGCATCTGTAGTTCTAGCTACTTGGAAGGCTAAGGTGGAAAGGTTGCCTAAGCCCAGCAGGTTGAGGCTGCATTGGCCGTGAGCGTGCCACTGTACTCCAGCCACGGTGACAAGTGAGACTTCAGCTAAAGATAAAAAATAAAAAGACTAGGCATGGTGGCATGCACCTATAGTCCCAGCTACTTGGGAGGTTGAGGCAGAAGGATCACCTGAGCCCAAGAGGTCAAGGCTTTGGTGAGCCATGGTTGTGCCACTACACTCCAGTCTGGGCAACAGAGTGAAACCTCAACTCAAAAAAGGGGGTAGGGAGTTTGTACTTTAGTATAGACACAAGCTTTCTCCCCCTACCCCCTGAATACTCTTGATCTGTAGTTGGTTCCACAGATGTGAAACTCATGGATATGAAGGGCCAACTGAATTTTCAAATCTAAGACCTACATCAATGTTTTTAGGTTGATTCTACATTTTCTTTCCTACTTTCCTGCCAAGGAAGTGAGAATTGATTTTGAAAGGTAGGGAAGAGCACTGACCAGTCTGATCTGCATTAGGATTGTGAGTCATTTTTCTGTTATCAGCCCCTTGCCTCGTGTCATCTCACTCCTGACTTCTCAAGTCCTAGGTTTTTCAGAAGTTACTCTTGACTAAACATTTATAGTTGCCAGTGTACTATATGACTTCAGAATTGGTAGAAATCTTTTACCCGTTGTGTTTCCTCTTGTTTTCTTTGTTCTTTTTTTTTTAAAGCTGGAGTCTCACTCTGTCAACCAGACTGGAGTGCAGTGGCCGCTCCCGGCCACCGCAACCTCGAACTGCTGGGCTCCGGCGATCCTTCCGCCTCAGCCTTCCAAGTAGCTGGAACTACAGGCGCGCGCTACCACACCTGGCTAATTTTTTGATTTATTGTAGAGATGAGGTCTCCCAAGGCGTGGAATTACAGGCTGAGCCACCGATCCCGGCTGTTTTCTTTGTTCTTATGAGTACTTTTTACTCTTTTCTGTCATGAATAAGTATTTCAGAAGAAATTGGAGATGTGTGATCAATGTGCTTTAATAGCAGTCCCAGGCTTACTTTTTTTGTTTGCCCATTTAAAATAGTATAGTTTAGACTCGGCTCGGTAACTCAGCCTGTAATCCTAGCACTTTGGGAGGCCGTGGTGAGTGGATTTGCCTAAGGCCGGTTCAAGATCAGCCCGGGCAACTTGGCGAGGCCTCATCTCTATCATAAATCAAAAATTAACCAGGCATGGTAGCACGTGCCTGTAGTTCAGCTACTTGGAAGGCTGAGGTGGAAGGATTGCAAAAGCCTAGCAAGTGGACACTGGGGTGACCGTGAGCGTGCCACTACATTCCAACCTGGGCAACAGAGTGAGACTACAACTCATAAAAACAAATAAATAAATAAAATAGTATAGTTTAAAATAACTGAAATTAAATAATGTCCATTGAGGCTTCTAAATACTACAATTCAGTCAAATGTCAGTATTTTAAATATTTTTTAAATTTCAGCATTTCATATGTATTATATACAGTATCCAGGAAATCTTTAAAAATTATTGGTTTGAAGTCAGCAAACACTTTGCACACTAATGTTTACAAAGTTTTTTTTTAGACTTGCAACGAAGTTGCAAGAATAGTACAGTACAAGGAGTTCCTGTACACCTTTGACCAGGATTCTCTAAATGTTAATGCCTCACATAATAACATTGTAAAATTTTACAGAATAACACTGTAAAATAAGAAAATTAACACTGATGCAGTACAGTTATGTAATCTAGAGACCTTGTTCACATTTCTCCAATTGTCCCTCTAATGTCCTTTTTCTGGTTTCAGGATTCAATCCAAGACAACATTTGTTTTCTTTAGATTCTGAATGTAGAAATTTGGATTGTGACTGACTTCAGCTACATTTGTCTGAAGATGAAATAATTTCATTTGGGTGATTAATTCTCTATCTCTATGATACCCTTTTTATTTTTTATTTTTATTTATTTTTTATTTTTTGAGTTGAGTCTCACTCTGTCGCCCAGACTGGAGTGCAGTGGCCGGCGATCCTTCCGCCTCAGCCTTCCAAGTAGCCGGAACTACAGGGCGCTACCACGCCCAGCCGATTTTTTATTTTTATTGTAGAGATGAGGTCTTGCCAAGTTGCCCAGGCGGGTCTCGAACCCGCGGGCTCAGGAAATCACTCACCTCAGCCTTCCAAGGTGCGGGATTATAGGCTGAGCCACTGAGCCTGGCATATGATACGCTTTTTTAAGTTGAAGTCTCACTCTGTCACTCAGGCTAGAGGGCACTGGCACGCTCTCAGCCACCGCAGCCTTGACCTGCTGGGCTCAGGTGATCTTTCTGCCTCAACCTTCTAAGTAACTGGAATTACAGGCACGTGCCACCATGCCCAGCTAATTTTTTTTTTATTTATGGTAGAGATGAGTTCTTACCAAGTTACCCAGACTGGTCTCAAACTGGTGGGCTCAGGGAATCCTCTCACCTCGGCCTCCCAAAGTGCTGGGATTATAGGTGTGAGCCACTGTGCCCAGCCTCACTGTGATACTCAACTAGATAGAATGATCAGGTGACAGGAATATTGCTCTATGCATTAAAACACTAGATTATGTGTCCGTCAAATGACCTAAGCTACTGAAGAGTTATGAGATTGTTATTTAGCATAATATATTTAAGTTTTCTTGGTTTTGAATTAATTTGGTATGACTCTTTTCAGTAACCAAAAATCTAGAACAGGATATTCATATTCTATTCCACTGATATATCCCTCCCATCTTGTGTAAGATTCAAGTCATTTGCGATTCATTTTGTGATGAATTTGAGATATGATACAAAGAAAAAAATGTTTTAGAACTTGACAAATTTCTCAATAAATTTAAATGAAACAAATATAATAATTCTTCCTAGGTCAGCAATTCTTGGTTCTGCATAAGTGTCTTGGAGGGATGGGGGAAATTAAGGTCTAACAATTGAAAAAATCTGGCTAAACTTTTCTTTACTTTAGCTGCTAATGAAGAGTGTGTGTGTAAATGCTGTGTGTGCTGGCCAGGTAACATCACTGCAGAAGAGAACTTAACTTACTTTGTTTTTCTTTTCCCTCAGTTGCAGGAAGAGGCCGAGGCCGAGGTAGAGGAAGAGGACGTGGCCGTGGCAGAGGAAGAGGGGGTCCTAGACGATAATGTCTCTCGAGATTACTGTTTCAAAGTAATCAGTGCTTTGGCATATTTTTTTGTACAGGTTTTGTTTGTTTATGTCAGTTTTTAATAAACATAAATGTGGGACAGAATTGTCTGTTGAGTATATCAAATTAAAGTTTTAGACTTTCCTCGATATTCATGAAATTATCAGTGAGAGCTAAGCATTTCTACTGGCTGGTTTCGTTTTCGTTAATTTTGCTTTTTTTTTTTAAATCAGAGTCTCACTCTGTCGCCCAGGTTGGAGGGTTGGAGTGCAGTGACATGCTTCTCTATCAAACACTTTTACACAAGAGACTTTTCTGAACAAAAGGGAAAAAGATCTACTTTATTTGACAGCAAAACTATTCTTTCCCATTGTTAGTAAGGATCTCTAAAAATTGCTTTACTTGGTTTAGAGAAAAATACCTCTCAGTGCATAGTTTCTTGGAAATCTTACTACTGGTTGTTTATATGCTGAGGAAAAACTAACTTTGAGAATGTGAGGGTCCTAAATCTGTGCTTTCATTTAATTATGCATGTAGATTTTTGTTTAATTTTTTAAATAAGAAGATTTTCTGCAAAGATTAACCTTAAAAAAAAAATACTTGGGCCCCACAACGGGGTTAAGTAAATTGAGAGATAGAGCAAAGAAGTAGAGGTGTGTGTTTTAAAGAACTTACTATAAAACTTGTGAATATATATCGTATATTTTAAGTATCTATTGTTATTAAGTAAATTCAAACATTTCTTGATTTTTCCACAGTTAACGTGTTTCTTCTATTGTTCATAAGTCATTGAGGTGAACATGTAGTAATTAGCTATTTTTTCACAAATTATCTGGCAGGGGTCAAACAGTTTTATCACAAGTTTTGTGATCCAAAAAAGGGGAGAAATGTGGAAATCATGGTGATTAAGATAATTTTATATGAGTTTTCTGTTTTTGTTTTTGAGTTGCAGTCTCACTCTGTTGCCCAGGCTGGAGTCCAGTGCCACGGCGCTCACAGCCACCTCAGTCTTGACCTTGACCAGCCGTGACTGCTCAGGCAATCCTTTCACCCCAGCCTTCCAAGTAGCTGGAACTACAAGTGCGCACTACCACACCCAGCTAATTTTTTATTTTTTTATTTTTTATTTTTATTTTTTTTTGAGTTGGAGTCTCACTCTGTCGCCCAGACTGGAGTGCAGTGGCTGCTCCCGGCCACCGCAGCCTCGACCTGCTGGGCTCCTGCGGTCCTTCCGCCTCAGCCTTCCAAGTAGCCGGAATTACAGGCATGCGCTACCACGCCCGCCTGATTTTTTGATTTACTGTAGATGTGAGGTCTTACTGCCCAGGTGGGTCTCGAACCCACGGGCTCAGGCAATCCACTCACCTCAGCCTCCCAAAGGTGCGGGATTACAGGCTGAGCCACCAAGCCCGGCTTAATTTTTTATTTTTTGTAGAGACGAGGTCTCATCAAGTTGCCCAGGCTGGTCTTGAACCCCTGAGCTCAGGCAGTCCTCTCGCCTTGACCTTCCAAAGTGCTGAGATTAAAGGTTTGAGCCACCTCACCTGGCCATTTTTTTGTTTTTCGTTGTTGTTTTTTTTTTTTTTTTTTTTGAGTTGGAATCTCATTCTGCCACCCAGGCTGGAGCGTAGTGGCATGCTCACGGCCACCCCAGCGTCAACCTCCTGGTCTCCGGCAATCCTTCCACCTCAGCCTTCCAAGTAGCTGGAACTACAGACATGTGCCACCATGCCCGGCTAATTTTTTGATTTATTGTAGTGATGAGGTCTCACCAAGTTGCCCGTGCTGGTCTCAAACCCGCAGGCTCAGGCAATCCTGTCACCTCAGCCTCCCAAAGTGCTGGGATTATAGGTGTGAACTACTGCAGCCAGCCCATGAGTATTCGTTAATAGTAAATGTGTTAAAAGTGAGCTAGCATGACAAGATACAACCTATATGTATATAATTTTTTCCCATGGATTTTGTAAATTAAACTGGGGAGATCAGTATTTGGGTGTCATTCTTTTCCATCTTCTGATCTGTTGTTCCTATTGGTTGAACCGAAGCAGAAGGCAAAAGACCAAGGACTCTTATTTTTTTGAGTTGGAGTCTCACTCTGTCGCCCAGACTGGAGTGCAGTGTTCGCTCCCGGTCACCACAGCCTCGACCTGCTGGGCTCTGGCGATCCTTCCGCCTCAGCCTTCCAAGTAGCTGGAACTACAGGCACATGCTACCACTCCCGGCTGATTTTTGATGTATTGTAGAGATGAGGTCTCGCCAAGTTGCCCAGGCTGGTCTCGAACCCGCAGGCTCAGGCAATCCACTCACCTCAGCCTCCCAAGGCACGGGATTACAGGCTGAGCCACCGAGCCCGGCTGACAAAGGACTCTACTGCAGCAGTGTGTGGAGGAAACTAACAGTTGGCTCGTTTTTGTGGAGCTTATAGACTAAAAGGGAAGCAAATGTTACCTAAAAATTGGAGCCAGGCACAATGACACATCTATGTAGTCCCATCCCATCTACTTAGAAGGCCAATGTGGGAGGCTTGCTTGAACCCAGGAGTTTGAGTGTGCTATGATCATACCTTTAGCCCTGTAGCCTGGGCAACATAGTGAGACGACCTATCTCTTTAAAAAATAAAGAAAGTGAAGGTGTGGTGGCTCCTAGCTCTTTGGAAGGCAGGAGTATTGCTTGAACCCAGGAGTTCAAGACCAACCTAAGCAACATAGCAATACCTTGTCACTACAAAAAAATCAGAACATTAGGTGTGGTGACATGCACCTATTGTTCCCGCAGTTTGGGAGACTGAGGAAGTATTGCTTGAGTCCAGGAGGTCAAGGCTGCGGTGAACCATTGTGCCGCTGCACTCCAGCCTGGGTAACAGAATGAGACCCCTACTCAAAAAAATAAAACAACTTTCCAAGATGAAAATGCCGTATAACATAAAATAATTTAAGTATGTTTTGAGAGTTTTGGGGTCTCAGATATTTGCAATATGAAACCAGTCTAGAAACAGTTTATGTAAGGAAAGTACAATGGGTACTAGATTGTTTATTCCACTAGAGGTCATCATTTCTATGTGAAAGGGCTTAAACTGTATGAAGAAAAAGCTATGTGAACTGATTGCCATCGGTAGCTATAAAGGAAGCATTATAGTAGGAATAGAAAAGAGACTAGACTTTAACATGCTTCCCGTGATCCCCTCCCCCAAAAAAGGCAGATCTGATATCATTTATTGTGAAATTTACATTTTTTTTAAAGGAAACTTACTATGTATTTAGATAGGAAACCTTAATAATAGAAAATCAAATTTCACAGTGTCTTTTAATCTATCATAATTATGTTGGGTTGTGCAAAGATGGCTTAGTATTTTGAAAAGTATTAATACAGACAGTAATCAAAGCTCGCATATTGCTTATAATGGATGTCACATGACATTTAATAATGTGTATAGCACTTTTCCTTGAAGACCTAACCTTCATAACATGAAGAATGTTACAACCTAATAGTAGACATTTTTTAGAGCTATTAAAAGTATGTCTGGGAACCAGATATGGGGGCTCATGTCTATAATTTCAGCACTCTGGGAGGCCAAGGAAGAAGGATTGCTTGAGCCCAGGAGTTCAGGACCAGCCTGGGCAACATAGTGAGTGAGACCTCATCTCTACAAAAAAATAAATAAAAGTATGTCTGCAAGCTAGGCATAAGGGTTCATGCCTGTAATCCCAGCATTTAGGACGGCCAAGGCGAGGATTGCTTGAGGGCAGGAACTCAAACATAGGCCCATTTCTGCAAAAAAACAAGTTAGCTGAACGTGCTGGCCTGTACCTCTATTTCAAACTACAGGCGAGACTGAGGCAGAAGGATCTCCTGAGCCCCGTAGTTGGAAGTTACAATGAACTGTGATCATGCCACTGCACTCTAGCCTCAGCGACAGCAGAGCCCTATCCTCTACAAAATAAAAAGTATGTCATGCTGGTCTTCATTATTTAATGTGAAAGTCTTCTGGATTTGCAAAATAAGGAAAGCTTTTGAAAAGGGGAAAATTTGCAACATGTTGTGTGGGAGTCTCACTCTGTCATCCAGGCACACTCATGGCCACCACAGCCTCGAGCTGCTGGGCTCAGGTGATCCACCTCGGCCTTCCAAGTAGCTGGAACCACAGGCATGTGCCACCATGTGTGGCTAATTGTTTGATTTATTGTAGAGACGGTGGTCTTGCCATGTTGCTCAGGCTGATCTCAAACTTCTGAGCTCAGGCAGTCATACAGCCTCCACCTCCCAAAGTGCTGGGACTACAGGTGTGAGCCACTATACCCGGCTATTATATAGTGCTTTCTATGTGGGAACATGATAGCGTGCTCTCTATCTGAACGAGTTCTTCTCAGTGAAGTTCTTTTTTTTTTTTGAGTTGGGAGTCTCACTCTTGCTCAGACTGGAGTGCAGTGGCTGTTCCCGGCCCTTGCAGCCTCACCTGCTGGGCTCCGGCGATCCTTCCACCTCAGCCTTCCAAGTAGCCGGAACTACAGGCGCGCGCTACCACACCCGGCTAATTTTTTTGATTTATTGTAGAGATGAGGTCTTGCCAAGTTGCCCAGGCGGGTCTTGAACCCGCGGGCTCAGGCAATCCGCTCACCTCAGCCTCCCAAAGCATTGGGATTACAGGCTGAGCCACCGAGCCTGACCCTCAGTGAAGTTTTAACATTTCATTTATATATTCCATATATTTTGAAGGAGGTTAGTACATAATGAGATTCAGGTTAACAAAGAAGATAATAACAAGAAGATAGATATTCAGTGCAGTCAATTCTTGGTATTTGCAGTAGTTACATTCTACAAAGTTGATGCAAATACTGAACCGTTACTCCTAGGGATAATATGGGGTTATGTTCCTGCGAACCTCTGGTCACATTCGCATCACCAGTCAATACATATATAACCTTGCTTTATGGGTGTTTAGTTTGTTTGGGTTTTTTTATGGGTGTTTCTGTTTAAAAACACCCTATTTCGTATATACTGTTGATTCATTAAACTCTCAGTTCCTGGCTAGCAGCACTATAACTCATGCACAAATGGAGCTTATCTAATAAAATTTTCTCCAAGAAGCACATCACAGCTGTCTTTAGAACACTGGATGACA